TGTTGTCTGATATGTTCACCCACAACTTAACAGATTTACTTCAGAATCAGGGTACCTGTGGCCTTCAAAATATTGATGGCCTACATTTGCATTATTCCTGACCACAGGGCATGCTGGTTGAGGCAAATGGGCCTTGGAATTGAGCAGTTTCTGGGAGGTCAAAGGTTGTCTACCCCTGGCTTACACCCTTGACCTATAGATCACTATCTACAAAAATGAACAGTTTGGCTGAACTCCTTCATGGGTCATATCCAACACTGGTGTCCCGATAGCACAGCAGATATCCACTTACACAGCGTAACTTTCTTCTTCTATCCTCTCCCCTACATCTCCCTATGCACCCTCAAAATCTGCTCCAGAGGGTTGGAGAACCCCCTGGAAACAGATCTGAAGGACACATGGGGAGAGGAAAGGGAAGTTCTGTTGCACAAGCAGCACTCCATGCATGCAGCATTAGCTATTTTGGTGACAGCTCATGAAGGTTTTGACCAGTACCAATAATGGAGAAGTTCTGCCTTCTTTTCAGGGAGTGATTCCTACCTTCCGAGTCAAGTTTTTGCTGAGGTTGCTGCGTGGAAGGTTGGAGGTGGATCTGGACAAGGACAAACTTTTGTTCAAGCACATGTGCTATGAAATGGAGAGGCTGCATAATGGGGGAGATGTAACATTCCACGATGTACTGAGGTATGTTAGATGGCACACAAAATCAATTGTAGTTTAATTGCAGATATTTTTAGAAAAAGAGGTGCTGGAACTTGCCTCCCGTGTTCTCTTATAATGGCAATGATGCCCACCTGAGAGATGCCAAAACTGAGTTCCAGCTGAAAACAAGCCCTGAATACAATCATGTTTATAGGGTTTATAGAAAATATTAACTGAGGAGCATATCAGATTTTACTCAATGCTGATTTTTCTAATGTGTATCTAGAAGTCCAATTCAAACTACTATATTCATCATATAATAACAGCAGCTTTCAGCTGTCTTTTTTGGCTGTGTGAACTTGATTGGCTCAAGAGTGTTTTTTTATCAAGGAAGGCAAATTTAGCATATAACAATGACCACTTCCATGGAAGAAAGAACTTTCCCTGTTAAAAATACCCCAATCCAGGGAACCTCTGCATCATGATAAGAGCTGACACCAGTTTAGGAAGTCGCAAAAAAGCCAATTTGTACTGTCAGAGCAGAGAATGCTGATGCATATCTCCAGTGCAGGATTTGGGCAGCTTGCACAGTTGAACATACTTGTGTGCAGAAACCTGTTTTCATTGCACATGCACTTCTCTGTAATGGGGTTGGCTGTATAATGTCTTCGCCACTTTTCACTGTATCATAAATCCATGTATCCCCAGGTCATCGGATGACCCTTTAAGAGCAAAATAAACACCTTATTTTCAAAGGAAGTATATGATACACCTGCAATTATTTTCCTTTTATAAAAAACAATTTTTTAAAAAGAAACCCTCATTATTATTATTATTGTTTATTATAATTTTCCCCCCAAGCATGCTCTCCTACAGATCTGTTGACATCAGAAAAAGTCTTCAGCTGGAAGAACTGCTTGCTAGGGAACAACTGGAATACACCATAGAAGAAGAAGTAGCCAAACAGACTATCCGCATGTGGTTGAAGAAGTGCTTGAAGCGCATTAGAGCAGTAAGTTTGACTAGGAAAAAACAGAAAGCATGTAGCATACCCTTCCTTGTTGTGTAGAACATGCTACATTTTATTTTCGTACTAGAGAGCTGTCAATTATTTGGAAAACATTGTTTAAGCTTCTTAGCCTTCTCAGTCATGCAGTGCTTAAAATACAGGTGTGCTATTTATTTATTTATTTATTTATTTATTTATTTTTATACCAGCGTCACTGGTGCTTTACATAATCAAAAAAGAAACAAGGAGCCGAGAATTAAGATGTGGACAATAGAGGAGAAAGAGGAAGGAAAGGCAGATAACTATAACAGAAGGATGATGAGTGACATCAGGAGAGTGTGGTGGAATGTTGCGTGAAGATATAATTGAAATTGAAATAATTGAAATACTTTATTGTCACTTGTACAACTTGTATACAGTGAGATTACACAAGCACCCATCATATGAATGATGGGTGGCAGGAGTTGGTTGAGAAAGTCAGAGTTAAAAGGAGTGAGGTGAAAAATGAGGACTGTATGATCAGAGAGGGGCATTGGTACATTGGTGCAAAGCTTGGAGTTTGGAGGGTCAGGAATACTAAGTTAGATTAGTAAATTACAAATGTTTTCTGGTCTGGAGAATTGGTAGTTTATCAGATTTTGCCCCCACATGCATCTTGTAAATTACACAGTCAAGTAGATAAATGAAGAATCCTCTTGCTCTCTATAAAACAGTGAATGGCGGCAGCAGGTTGCTTGGGGAAATATTAAGGAAAGTTTGGACAGCTGAGCGACTGACCCTAATGACGTCCATGTACCCAGGCCCATGTCAGAGACCACTGCAACATCACCATAGCAATTAGTGATGGCAGCATATTTTGGAAATGGGGGTTTCAGAAGACAGGTTCCCTCAGTTTAAAAATCTGCACACTATTATGAACCAAGCCAAACACTGCTCCAAGTTTTGACTTGTTTTATAATGACTTGGTAGCAGCCCTCCATCTGTCCTAGAACCCCTACCTCCCCTGCCCCTTTACCAAGTTTCAACTCAGGCAAGGAAAGCTGGTAATTGTTTCTGTCTACAGTGACAGTGTCTTGACATGCCTTTAAGCATGGAAAGTCCGGAAAATGAAGTTTTTTAATTCCTTCTCAGTTGTATTTTGTTGTTGTTGACGATGATGATAGCTGAAAACACTGATCCCAAATAAATACTTGTAAAAAGAATGCTTTCTCTTATTTGAAATTTAATGGAGGACCATTAAAAATATGTTCTCTTCCAATCTGGAAAAAGACATACCTCCCTTGGGGGGCAGGGATTAGAGTTGTTTTCCAGATTTGTATTCATTGACGCTGAAAACACTCCACTTTTAAGTTGGTAAAGGAAAAGGGGGGAATGTGCCATCCTAAAAAATTCTCTGATTTTGGATTTTGTTCCAATTCTTCCTATAACTCACAAACAAGCATAGAAAGCTTTATCTTTCCAGTTAGCGCAATAATGTTTAGTGTTGGATATATGCATTCTGCCTCTTTTTTTTTTGCACACTGTCATTGATACATAAAAATGGTACAACATGAAAGTCACACTTTGTAGTTATCTAAGGGAGTTTCCATTATCACTTTGTTAATTTTATCTAGTGTCTAATTTAAAAATCACTGAAACCAGTTAACTTCAATAGCCTCCAGATGAGTTCTATAAAAGCTTAGTTCTTCTCCCTGATCATTTTATTCTAAATGTCTCTTTCCATAGTCTCATAAAGCAGATTGAAATAAAATTAAACGGTGTAAGCAGCTTTATGAAAATGACTACAAAGGAAAAGTCCACTGTAACTGTGAATAATATAAAGGGAATGTAGAGCAGACAAGAGCAAATCTCAATTTTTGAAGAATACTTGTTTGAAAAGATCCAGTGATAATTATACTTATTATCTTTTTATAGAAACAGCAGCAGTCATGCAGCATTATCCATAGTCTCCGAGAGAGTCAACAACAGGAGCTTAGCCGTTTCCTAAATCCACCAAGCATTGAGACAACACAACCAAGTGAAGACATGAATGCTAATAACCAGGATAACAGTACACAGCCTGAGGTACAGTTATGCTCAGGTCCTCAGCGTATTGGCCTAAGCCAGTGGATTAAGATAAATCATGATTCTTCATGTTCTCTGTGCAGGCACAAATATGGGAAAATCTGTGCCTGTGCAGAGCATCTTTGGAATATTCTAGAGCTTTTAGGGTGGCTGGATACACACACAAACTTAAAGAAGAGTCACTTTGTGAAGAACATTGTTTTGAAATCCTGAACTAAGGAAACTAGCCCTATAGTAGTAGTAGTAGTAGTAGTAGTAGTAGTAGTTCTTCTTCTTCTTCTTCTTCTTCCTCCTCCTCCTCCTCCTCCTCCTCCTCCTCCTCCATCACCACCTCCTCCTCCTCCTTGCCTGTGGTTTCAGTTTTGCATTTTCCCAGTTCTACAGTCTTCACAATACGAAATGACTGGGATCAGATCCAGCCATCCTTTACTTCATTAGCCCACTGTAAACAGTGTCATAGTGACTGAGGTGGATATTCATTGTGTTCCGGAATAAAGTATTCTAAAATATTCCCAGATACCATGAGCATAATTCTTTCTAATGAATCAGAAACAACAAAATAAAGATCAGAAACAAAAAGGCCTTGCTTGTGTTCTTTAAAGCTTCAGATACTATGCACTTAAACACTGTTCTCTTTTGTTCTATTCAGATGAGTAGTCAACAACAGCTCCTTAGTCCAACGCTCTCTGACAGAGGGGGATATCGGCAAGACTCTACTGATGGTGGTAAACCTCAGCGGAAGTTTGGACAATGGCGTTTGCCATCAGGTAGGCGAAGATTGTCATGAATGACACCAAAAAGAATTCTAAATGGAACCTGGAGCTCTATTTACTGATAGAACTCAGAAAAGTTCCATAAGAGGGCTTGCATCCTCACTGGAGGATTCTGCAGCAGTAGATTTCAGACTGACTACAGCTACACTAGAAACAGAAGAGAGCAGTCATTCCAGATTTCTCAGACAAGCTAGCCAAATCACATGCTACAGGAGAAGAAAGGAAAATCATCATGGTGTTTAAGACTGGGGTGGGGCTAGGAGTAGAGAAAAGAATGTAATTATTTCGTAACTCCAAATTCAGTGATCAGTAAGACAACAAATGTGATCCAAAGCCAACCACCATTATTATTCTGGGGGGGGAAATTATTGTTAGTATAATTCTATGCTGCCTAGGATCCGGATGCCATTGAGGAAACACACACATACAGAGGTTCTAGATTCAGGTAAGTAGCCATGTTGGTCTGATGTAGTTGAAATCAATAAAAAAATTGTCCAGTAGCACCTTAGAGACCAACTAAGTTTGTTCTGGGTATAAGTTTTCATGTGCATGCACACTTCTTCAGATACACTGTTTAGGTGTACCTGAAGAAGTACGCATGCACACCAAAGCGTATGCCCAGAACAAACTTCGTTGGTCTCTAAGGTGCTACTGGACAATTTTTTTATTTATTTACACATACAGAGGGTTTTTTATTTGTTAAAAAAAAAAACACCACAACTTATTGGAGCCAACTGAAGCTCCTAGGTCAAAATATGCTAGAGTAAATCATTCAACAAAATATATTTTAAGGAAAGTAGTTATGGAGTACCTCTTCCAATGGCGTCCCTAACAATGGAAGTCCATAGGGAAAGTAATAAGAGTGTGCAATTTTTGGTCCTTTAAGCATCAAAGCAATATGGACCTGCATAGGCTTAACCATATACATAGCTACTGCCTCTAAAACCAACAGTAACTTAAGCTAAGCATGAGCTTCATTGCTGTGCTGAACACATAAAGAGTCTTAAGTGTGCCAAAGCTGCAATTCTGGGCTGTTTTAAGTAGATCAGTTCAGTCTTAGGACATTTTCCTGCACTTGGTATTAGTTGTTGCTTTTTCCACATTTGTAATGCTTTTGTACATGAAACCTAAACTAGTTGAAATAAATTGAAGGTTTAAAAATTGCTCTCTTTCCTCTTCTGTACTACTGTATATTAACAAAGTAGGATGCAAGGTAAATTTGCATTTACAACACAATGTAGTGTTCGAGCATCTCAAATGCATTTTTAATGTGAAAAGCTCTTGGTTTGCATGGAACCATCCCCACTACTCCAGATAACAGAGTGAGATACATATCTGCATTAGTAAGTTGTCTTCTGTTTAATTCCCTAGCTCCAAAGCCAATAAGCCATTCAGTGTCTTCAGTCAACTTACGGTTTGGTGGCCGTACAACCATGAAGTCTGTTGTGTGCAAGATGAATCCCATGTCAGACATGGCTTCTTGTGGATCAGAAGTCAAGAAATGGTGGACAAGACAACTCACTGTGGAGAGTGATGAGAGTGGTGAAGACCTGCTTGATATCTGACTGGAAAAAGATGCCATTTCAAATCACACTTATGCAACATTCCTTTGGAATTAAATCGTTTTCTTGGTTTTTAAATAGCAGTTCCTATTGACTGACCATTTATATCAAGAGAAGCCTTCAACTTGACAAGATATACGACTTACTTATTTTTTAATCCTTATGTGATTATTAATGTAAGAGAAAACAGCAAAAAAAGGTAGTGTTCATAAAAAGCAAAGACAGTTTTGTTTCGTTTTTCCCTCAGACCCAAGAATAATTAGTTTAACTCCCGGATCTCAGCAGGGCCTTCTGTCTTTCAACAGCCCCTCTATGTCACATCCCAAGCTGGTTTTTAGATTTGGTGGGTCTTTAAAACTGGATTGATGTTGCTTGGTCCAAATTGGGAGGGATTATAAACCAATAGCTGTTGTTGAAAAAATGGGCATGCAATTCTGCCACAGTTCTTTACAATTCAAAAATATAGGCGATGACGTGAGGACTTTCTTTTGGGTGGTATGGGAGAAGTTTGCTGTGAAACTCAAAAAATACCCCAAAGAAAATATTTGTATGGAAATGTTGTGAGTCTTATTGTTTCAGTACATTAGAGCTTTTGTTTTAGACAGACAGGCAAACACAATTTATTCATAATTTATTATGTGCTTTTGTTTATGGATGCCAATTGGTTGATTAATTTTCTTTGTTAACTGTGAGTGTTGCTTTTGTCTATAAACAAAATAGTTTGTAAGGAAGATGCTATTGGGGGGAAATCAAGTCCTCACAGGGCATGTACAATCCTACACAATTAAGGAAATAGACCTGATTGCAGCCAGTGTTTCATATTTGAGAAGTTTCACTGTATGCATTTAGAGGACTTGTGTAAGTGTTGCTTCTGCCCTAGTCCACACTAAACCTAGCCTGGAAATGATCATCACATAGGGTACGATGTCATTGTTTTTGCTCTTTTTTTCTAGCCTTCTGCCTAACCAGTATTAATATTGATGAACAGCCTGTAGAGATCAGCAGGGAATTCATTCTAAATGAAAGCATTTTTACAATATACAGATTTTGACTTGCAGATAGCTAGCTTTTTTAAAATATGCAAGATGTAGGATAGTTTCTTTTAGCATATCAGAAAATGACTAATTGGGTTTTATAATCATTTTTAATTGTTACTGTGAAGAACTGAACATGAATGCACAGCTGTTCTGCCCTTACACCTGCTGAATAGGTTTCGAGCACTGTAATCTCTATCAACATCCATCACTTCTTAAGGTTGGAACAAGGACAGTCAAAGCCTGGATTTGGTTCATTGTCTCCTCTCTGTAGGTCCTTCTAAATAAGTGTTTGTAGCTGTCTGAACTAAGGACTCTGGCTGTTGAAGGAAGAAGCTGGGATTCTCCTATGTGCAGTCCTACGTGTTTTGATGTAGGATGCAGCACCTATACATCACTTGAAGCACATCCAGAAAAGCAGCCTACTCACAAAAGTCTGGTTTTGTGTTTGATTACTCTTGCTTATAGAGTAAATAAGTTTTATTAAATAAACTAAATAACCTTATTGTTTAGATCAGTGGTTCCTAAACTCCCCCCCCCCATGCACCACTTGTTGCTTCTTTTGTTTTTTATATTGTTTTATTATTGTAATACAATAAAATATAAGAAATAAAAGAAGAAATTGAAATGCCATTAAGCATCAGTATAAAAAGTTCATGTGGACATGCCATGGACAACCGGAATAACAGACCACAGTTGGGAACCCCTGGTTTAGATAATTCACTGTGTAAAGGACATCACTGTTATATTTTTTAAGTATCTTAGTCATGCAATGCTGACATATAAATTATGCCATTTATCAAGTTCCTTGTCCTTATGTACACTGGAAGTGTCATTTTTAATTTTTATAACTATGATACAAACTGTGTTTGATAAGGGGTTGGATGCAGACGACATGTTAGAGAAGCAAGACACTTGGCAGTTTTTAAATTTCAGTTTACTTGGATAAATGGGAAGTCTGTTGAATTAAAGATACCCTGTGTGTGGAGTGGCAGCAAACAGAACATGCAGGAGCAAATAATAATAATAATAATAATAATACTTAATAAACAAATTTATAAATTGCTTCATAGCATGAAGCGACTGAAGTGGTGTACAAGCTAAAAACCGAATAAAGCACAACTCTAAAAACAATAAAACCATCCCTTTAAATTAAAAAAAATAAAACAATTTCTGCAGATAACATTTCAGTATGCATCAAGATACCACACAGAGATGCATAAGATACAGTAGCTCCAGGGGAGAATTAAAGGTAGCAAAAACCTTTAAAATAAGTCAGAGGGAAACTGGCCACTGATCTCCTATAACAGCTAAATAGAAAATGAGCAATCCCAGTAATGAGGTTCCAGCCACCAACCCAACAGGGAAAAATGACCTGTCCAGGGGAAAGGAAGAAAAAGACAAATCAATCATTTTTGTGGCTCTGGTTCTGTATTTGCAAAATTAATTTGCAAACAAGTTTATGAAGAACCTATTTTGGCTAGTTCTGAAAGGCAACTCACCCAGCCTCCATACAATTGCATATATAACCTCCATACAACTGCATATATAAAATTAAAATAGCCTGGTTTATAAATACAAAATGGATTGACTTGCATTTGCACTGAGAATAGTATAATAGGTACTCCAAGATAAAAGTTTGCGAGATGTTTGGGAGCGAACATCAAATCAATTTTCTAATACTACCAGCAAGTGGAATACTCCCTTGTATGTTTTGTTTACCACTTTCTATGTTACTCAAAAAATACTGAGCACAAGTGTGCAGCATATAAGAGTTGGTTTAACATTTCAAACTTCAGTCATGTTCTTAATTCGTTTAGCATATTTTTGTAATGTCATAAAAGAAGAAGAAAATGCCATTTTCTGGCATTACTGAGGCTGCGATTGTATGCTAACTTACCTAGAAGCCCCACCCAATATAGTGAGTCATACTTCCAAGCACACAAGCATTGGATTTCACTTAAAAGTAATCACTGAACCTCTTCAGTATAGCTGCATGTCATACAGGTAGCACGACCAAACAGTGATGAATAATAGCCATCTTATTACTTCTACAATACAATTAAATGTATTGTGAGAGGCAGGGGGGAATGGCAGGGTTCTGACACCTTCATACAAACAACAGTGCTTTTAGGATTTTATATCTGCTTCCCAACCAACGCTACCTTGGGATGGGACCTTTGCCACTACCATTATTTCCTATGGAAATTATGTTGCACTACCATGGCCTGGCCTGGATCTTCTAAGACGCACCAGAAACATAAGATTTCATGAATAAAACAGGAACTTTAACAACCTGGAAATTGTCCATGTTCTTTAGTAGCTTTATGGACAAAAACGAAGAAAAAACCCAGCAACAATGAATGATAAGAGTTGTTTTGGGTTTTACTCCTGCTTTTGCTTTTAATGCAAAATGTATTTGAATCAATAGAAGGATTTCCATTCTCAGTCTACCCTTTGGCCACATGTTATTTTAAATGCTATGGTCTTTATTGCATTATGATGTACTCATCTGTGTGTGTATTTCACTGTTTAGATTAAGAAGTCGTCGAAGTCCCTGTGATGTTGTTTTCTTAAGTCTGTGCATTCTGTTGTTTAAACTAGACTGCAGCAAAGATCTACAGAAAATGTCACTCCGGTCATTTTTGAGGACAACATTTTGTCTTTTTCTTTTTTGTCTATTTGAACTTAAGGTCTGTACAAAAAAATAAAAATAAAAACCTAAGCTGACAGCAGGAGGGTTGTTGGGTTTATAAAATATGTTTTCTTGAACTTTCAATAACGTGCTGAATTGCAGAACCTTTCTGAGTTGTTTCTATGGTAAATGTTCTTTTTCAACCTCTGGCAAACATTAGCCCTTTGCCATACGGTGTCAAGAAAAGGCAGTTGCTTCCAGTGACGCCTTTCCTCACATTTTCATTCTTGATTGATTTGCTACATATTATTCACAGGTTCAAGGCAGTATTTCACAATTTTATTTTGCTACTGCAGTTTGCCAGTCGTTTGGGATTTCCTTTTTCAGTCAATAGAGTCACCCAGT